AGGGTATATAGATGCCTTGATGGTTTAGGGCTTTGGATTCGGGGGTTTTAGGGTTTCTACTTTAGGGTATAGGTGTTCTATGGGGCTTAGGGTGGGATGTAGGCGGCTCTACGACTCAAGGTTCAGGGTACCTAGAGCACTTTGTGGCGAAGCGGTTCAGTGAAGGCCCCTTAGGCTGTAGGCTCATGTCGAAGCCCTGAACCTATAAGATTTGGGGGGGCCTATTATACCTTGGTCGAACTTTACAGTCACTTCATAGCTTTAGAGCTTTTAGGATGAGCCTTTTTGGATATAAGGGGTAGTAGAAGTTGCAATTTTAGCAAGGTGGTAAAGAGCAACCCAGATACTATTTTAGGCTGACCAGTTGTCGGTACCCACCAGGTACTTGAATTTAATCCTTTGTGGAGATTTTGGACGACCCAGAGCCACAACAAAAGAGTCGTTCGGGATTTGCTTAAACACTAAACTCTGGAATACGCGGGGCCGAAACCCTCATCCCTGTGAGTCAGAATTTGCTGGCCCTAAAACCCCAATCCTAAGCCCTAAAGCTTGGACCTTCCATTCATAAGCCCCTAAACCCTGAACCCTAAGCCCTAAACCCTAAACATTCATAAGCCCTAAATCCTAAACCCTGAACCCTGAACCCTAAATCCTAACCCTAAACCCTGAACCCTAAACCCTAAACCCTGAACCCTAAACCCTAAACCCTAAACATTCATCAGCCCTTAACCCTAAACCCTATAGACCCTGAACCCTAAACCCTAAACCCTAAACACTCATCAGCCCTTAACCCTAAACCCTAGACCCTAAACCCTAAACCCTAAACCCTAAACCCTAAACCCTGAACATTCAAAAGACCTCAAACCAGACGCTGCCCGAGGACGGACGCATTGGTCGCCTTGGCTACCGAGCTTCGGGACTGGCGGGAAGTCGTTGCCGGAGGCGCCGCATTTCTGCGTTGCTGTTAAGGGTTTAGGGTTTAGGATTTAGGGTTCAGGGTTTAGGGGTTTGGGGTTTAGGGCTTAATGGCGATATACAGTAAGTAAATACTAGGGCCTCCTTGCCATAGTAACTTGGTTTAAGACCCCTAACAGCAAGCCAGATTTGTTCTTTTGTGGTTTCGGCTTCGCTTGGGGGTAAGGGCTGAGGATTACGGGTTTAGGGCTTAGGGTTAGGGCTTTGGGTTTAAACGGTTACACTCAGGCGTTTAGCTTTCGGAGAGTGGTAGCTGCAGAGGCGAATTTGACACAATCACCAAACTCTATGCCTCACACACAAGGCTGAGTATCGGTACCTGGATGGTTGCACCAAAGCCCAAGGGTTTCCGATAAGATTAGTGGATTACAGGAGTAGCGCAGCAACAAACAAACCTTAGTCTAACGAGTGAGACCTCGCTAAGCCCTAAACCCTATGAGCCTACAAACCCTATAAGCCTTACAAACCCTAAACCCTGTAAGCCCTATTATAAGCCTTATTAACCCTAAACCCTATGAGCCCTACAAGCTCTATAAGCCTTACAAACGCTAAACCCTATGCCCTAAGCCCGAAACCCTAAACCCTACAAGCCCTACACCGAAGCCAAACCATGCTGACTCTTCCCCGTCATCGTGGAGTCTTCCAGACCTCGGCCAAATGATCCACAAATCTTGCCGCCTGAAGAGCCTTTAGGAATTAGGGTCTAGGGTTAGTATAGGGTTTAGGGTTGAGGGCTTAGGGTTCACATAGGGTTTAGGGTTGAGGGTTAATATAGGGTCTAGGGTTGAGGGTTTAGGGCTAATATATGGTTTAGGGTTGAGGGTGTAGGGCTTAGGGCTAAAATAGAGTTCAGGGTTGAGGGTTAATATAGGGTTTAGGGTTTAGGGTTAATATAGAAGCCTACATAATGACCGATGTCATTCCTTAGGGTTCCTTTATCTTGTGCTGACGCATGGAGAACTACAGTATACTATACCCACCGAAGCCATGCTCAAGGCCTTTGCATTCATCCGCACGCCTTGCAGCCCCATGTGGCAAAAGCTCACGTCCAAAAGCGAAGCACATGTTGTTCAGGCCTTGCGTCACGGCAGCCATTGCAGGATAAACCCTAAACTCTATAATACGGATGATGGTATAAATCCTGCACTACCCAGAACAAGGAATATACCATAATTCCCATAGCTGAGGGTCATTAAGGTAATGCAGGATTTATTATTAATGTCATCAACAGTATCCTAGAAACTCCAAGCCCTACAAAACCCTGCACCTAAGCCCTAAACCCCAAAACCCAAGCCCTAATTTGGATCTCTCATCTTCTTTTCTCCTTCCCTTAAGGACGAAATGAACCCTAAAAGGGTTTAGGGTTCATTTGGTTTATAGGGATTCATAGTATAAGGGTATAGGGCCCCCTACTTATAAGCGTCATGTCGTTCTTAAGGATAAAGCCTTAACGCAACAGCCCTTAACCCTTCGCCCTCAACGCTGTAACCCTATATAATCCCTAAACCGCGAACCCCCAAACCCGAAGCCCAAAACCCTAAACCCAAAGCCCTACATCCTAAGCCCTAAACCCTAAACCCTAAATCACCCTAAGCCCCTAGATCCTAAGCCCTAAACCCTAAACCCTCAACCCCAAATCATTAAAAAAAACAGTTAAAGCATAAACAAAAAGCCTGAATCAGTTACACAAAACCCCAAACCCCCAAACTTATCAAAAAAGCAGCTAAATCGTAATAAAAAAGAAAAAACAGCCTTAAGTATCACGGTGAGGCTTGATCTTCAGCTTCCAGGACGACTCCGGTAGAGAGGTCTTGCAGTTGCCAGACCCCCCCCCCCCGGGTTAGGGTTTAGGGTTTAGGGTTGAGGGTTTAGGGTTAGGGTTTAGGGTTAGGGTTTACGGTTTAGGGTAGTTCCTGAGGCTTACCTGGGGTTTCGGGAATTTAGGGGTTGGGGAGTTCAGAAATTCTGGTGTTAAAGGGCTTTAGAAGCTTTGGAGGTTGGTCGTTTTGGGCAGTCAGGGATTTAAGGAGTTTAGAAATCGTGAGATGTTGGACATTCCAACTTTCAGGGTTTTGGGCTTGTTCAAGCGCCGAGGGCTTTGGATTTCGAGCTCCGAGGGTTTAAAATAGGGGCCTAAATAATTGCCAATATTGTTTTGGGGGTTCCTGGTTATAAATATAGTATATTGGGCCCCAAAGCCCTATTCTAATTATTAAGGCCCCTACATTAGGGGTTCGGAGCCTTTCTAGTGGCATCAATTCTGATTGTTCAGTCGTTCTTGGAAAGCTTCTCCGGAAAACACATCTATAGTTTCCGTGCTTGGTCCAGGTTCCGCGCATGTGGTTAGGAGGCATATGTACCTGGCTGAAGAACCTGCCTCTACGCGAATTGGCTTGATGAGCATTTCGAGAACTTTGTCTTTTCCGGGTTAGAGTTTAGGGTTTAGGGTAATACTGAAAGGCTCATGGGACTTAGTAACTAGGGTTAGAATTAGGGCAACTATATACTTATAACTACTTATAACCCCAAATAA